AAAATACGCGCGTGCAGCGCGGCGTTTGATCGCTGTTTGCAGTGCGGACCATTTTGCTGTAAATGAGAAAACACCAGTGTGAGAATACTGCGAGCCAGAGCACTTGTGGGTGAGGTAAAATTAATCAATTCAGGCCTTATTTGGTAATCGTAAAACCTTCATTTCAATAAACTGCAATTCCGAGGCATGACCACGCTTCAGACAACGATTGCCCTAAAAGTCGATCGACAGGAAAAAGGGCGTCACACGCAGATACTCTACAATTAGTAGTTGATTTCCCTCGTAACTACCAACAGTCTCCCTTAACGTTTCACAATATTAAACAAGCGACGTTTAAAAGAGCTCAATTTTATAGAGCTAACATAGTGGCCATAACCCCGAGTTATACCGACCGTACTACGTGATGTCCGATTTTTCCAGGCCTGGCCTACGGTATAGTATACATGCCTCCGGATCTATTTTAACAACTCTAACTACATGTAAGACCCTTCAATGTTCAACGCTAGAGAGCTGGCACTCAAGTGAAAATTTACAAACTACAAAAAATCTAGACCTGGCGTGAAAACAATGGGTACAAGAGCCAAGTTTAGGTGTGGACTTAGGAGAAAGACATACCTAACTTTGCTACATATAATACAAATGTTATCAAATGAGCACCTACATTCAATTCTACAAGTTCATTTTACCTACAAATAGTACCCGTTCAAAACAACTGTACCTGGTGAAGGCATCTTATACAGACGACCATCCACCAACTGACTAAAGAACAGATATTTCATAACAAAAAGACTTCCAAACGAGGGGCGAATACCAAGAAAACAATCTACTTTTTATGCATCAGAAGAGTACAATTTAAAAATGTTCATCTGATTTTGCGGTTTTCTTCCTTTTAAATGGTTGAGAAACGATTCTGTCACAACAGCAGAGATTGTTAACAGTGTAAGGAGGATGGTACAGTTGCCATTTACATCTACTCCTAGTTTACATGCCATCATTGAGCAACATGGAGTGCACATGAACTAATTCTCTCCCTACAGTGGTGTATGGGATAAAGTGCTGTCCAAAAAACTTCTGTCAAATCGCCCTGACGAATTGCCAGTATCTAACTCTGCCAGTAACAACCACCAATACATGTCTTAGTTCTGCGAAGGTTAAGTATTATGTATCCTGCCCATCTACAGAACATGTCGATAACAATGACTAAACATTAATGATTGAACTCTAGATTGTAAGGTTGACACTACACATTAAGGTGGCTGATAATAGTTTCCAGCATTCTTCCAGCACTTCTATTTTGATGTATCAATACTACCGTTCTTGTTAAGCTGTTCCTACATTGACCACATCAAACAAATGACCACATATTTGTAAACCACTTTAAGTCAATCGATGGTATGTGGATTATCGTAGAGTATGATTGCTTTGAACACTGTTAATAATAGCTATACATAAACATGTGCAGCTTATGGCCACTAACATAACAACTAAGGTGGTTTTGTGTTTTGTAGCCTACAGCAACACCTCTACATATATAAAAAAAATTACATTCAAAACACAGTTACAATGTTTCTTGATCTATCTAATAACATGTAGCAACACAACTGGAGATAAATACACCAAGTGGCATGGAAACACACAAAGGATATAAATTATTTCTACAACCCCCATTGAAGCAATTTGCACGTCAGAATGTAATGCCTGTTTTACTAACGCATCGAGTATGAGCATTTCATTTTCCTGCCTATTATTTCCTAACTAATTTTCGAGATTTGCTGACTTGTTTTCATGAAGTTGAATGAATGCACGTACATAAAAATTGCTTTCTATTTTATGCATAATTATTCAACACCAAAAAATTACTCCTCTAATTCCAATTAAAACCGCTTCCTCATGACCCTGTGGAGGAAATGAAATAGTTAAATACATCAGCCACTGAGTATGGTGTAAATATAAATGCTACCTTTAAAGTCAAGGCTGCCGACTATTATTAGCATTCCATGAGTTGTAATGGCAAGTTTGTACATGTATGGTACTGTTCACATGTAGGTGAACATTTTCAGCAGATTCACAACACACAGAGTACACTTATAGCCACACACAAATACCACATTATCATTGAATATTCCTAACCTACTGTGAGTGGGTGCTCAAATCATGGTCTCAAAGCAGGCTTCTAGCCAGAATTTGAAACGTGTGTGTCCAAAATGCGCTATAGGACCTGCTCAAATAAACAATTTGCAAGTCAACATATGAAAAATGAAACAATTTTCTTTAAAAAGTGGCCATCCACAGGATGCTTGGATGCCCATTTGGCTAAAAGCCTGTCTTAAGGGGAGACCATTCACAGGAAAGGTAAATTCATAGGCAACTTTAAAAGTTATGCTGAATGAAATTAATCAGAATTCAAATGCCTAATCTTCAGCTTACTTCCATTCAATCACTGATCCTGATCGTCAGCCTTCTGAAAAATAATAAGATTCAGTACGAATAAAGCCACTGAATACAGCTATTTATTTTAATGGGTGAATGGAATCACAAGGAAAACAAATAGTTATTGGATAAAAGAGTCATATAATATGCTGTATCCAACAAAAAACACAGACTCATTACCACTTGGTTTTAAAAAAAGATTGCTTCCTGTATAACAACTGGATTGTCCAGACCATTCCAGTCATATCAAAACATATTGAGGCAATGGCCTCAAAAGTCTCTAAACAATAGGAGGGATGAAAACAACAACAACAACAACAACAACAACAACAACTGAACTGATTTCAAGGAATGTCCTTGATGGCAATAACCTTTGAGGTATTGTTTTTGATTGTGATTGTCATGAAATAATGTATTGTCTTGTATTGTCTTGTACAGTGAATTAAAGGGAAACAATTCTTGCTCAGAAAATTGCCTACCACCACCCCTACACAACTCATCCCTTCTCCACTTAGGATGCATTCCTTTGGGGTGATCTGGATCAGGATCAGTGATCTGAGATCATTTGGATTATGGTGCACTAAAAGAGCCAATGAATCTGTGACCGAGTGGATTCATCAGTTCTTTTGATGTACAATGATCTGAGTGATCTTGGATCACTGATCCTGATCCAGATCACCCCAAAGGAACACACCCTTACATGTATTCATGTGTGCAGAAGGGTAAAGTTCTCAGGGAAAATGAAAAATGTTTAAACCAGTCAAAAAGGAGTAAATAACTCAGAACAGGCATAATTTAGAACAGGAATTAAATCATGTTCATGTGTCTCACCTTGCCTCTTCTCATTTCCTCAGAATTCTTAGGAATGTCAAGCATATTGATTCTCCCGGGCATCAATCCTTGAGGATCCATCTGCAAAGCAGAAGAGTCATTGTAAAATATGATTAAAAATACAATTCAAAGCTAAAAGACGTCAACTTATATAAAAAAGCCTTCTCAGTTTACTTCTAAAATTGTTAAAATCATTTGCTTTTGTTATTTTTCTAGGGAGCTTGTTCCACTCTTCTGACCAAAAAAAGCAGAATTATAGCAAGTCTTGCCTGTTTTGGTAGATAGCTTACCAAACCTGTTGTTTTCAACCATTTTTACTTTTTATGTACACCAAAAAAATTGGAGTTAAGCAACACTTGCCCTACGGATTTTCCATATCAGCTTAAATTTAGGTAGAACCTGGGAATGGTTGATAACTGAAATTAATGGAACCGATCAGAAGGCTAAAACAGCATGTCTTATTTGAGGTACATCATGCAGAAGCTATTTTATCACATTGCTAATTAAAGAATTCGTTCATGCTTAGCGTGCATATATCAAGTTATGGATGCATGCGGGACATTTAGAAAGCGTGAGAGAAGTGTAAGAGTTGTTTGAGGTGCAGCCAAGAGCAACTCTGGCTTGAATGCTGTGCAAGCTTTCCAAGTGCATCCATAATTCAAAACACACCCACCAAAAGCATGAACCAATTCTTTTATAACATAGCAACAGAAACTTGGGTGCTAAAACATGTTTTACTTGTGATTGTCTAGTACAAAGTTCTCACAATGCACAGTGAAGGAAAACAAAGGATCCTGTTGCCTGGTTAAAAACAATCAGTTGAAGGACAGTTGAGAGACAGTTGAGCGAGAATGCTTCATCTGGTTTTTTCTTCGAATTAATGAAAGCGTAGGCAAACAAAGTCAAAATACTCAATGAGAACACAGGCAAACAAAGTCAAAATACTAATACTCAAACTTAAGGAAATATCTTAGATTGGTAAAAGGCGAAGGCTTGAAGTAGGGTTTGGATTGTTCAGAATGATGAGGGACTGACACATACACATATATTACAAAAACCCGATCATATCTGACCACGATTTGGGAAAAATTAATAAGCATCCCCCTCAATTAAGTGCCTCCCTCGAATAAGCGCCCCGCATCTCCTTCTAAATTTGAAAAAAGCACCCCAGGCACTAATTCGAGGATTTATGGCATTTGATATTCTATCATCACTTTAACTGATATCACAATTCAAGCACCTACTGGACTTTTTTTAAGTTTCCTGATTTCTTCCATATTGCCTGCGGGCTGTGCATTTCTAGTCATTGTTTCAGGGCTGTCTTCATGGAGTGGCTGCATACGACGTCGCATATCAGCAGCTAAACTCATACTTCGCTCCATCCTCCCTGTCTTATACGAATCATCATCAGACTCCTCTTCTTCCTCTTCATCTTCCTCATTCACTTCATCCTTGTTTTCAACTTTCGTAATCTTCTTGTCCTTGGCTGTCACTGGCTGACTGTCCATGTCTTTATCTTCCTCTGGGCTCTCCTCTTCGTTTGGCTGTTCAGTATTTCCTTCATCTTTTCCAGTCTCTTTTTCCACTTCCTCTGAGGTATCAGGATTACCTTGATTACGCTTGTCAGTTTCTTTAATTTGAGACTCCTTTCCATCTGGCTTGATGTTTCCAGTGACATTAGGTGAAACACTTGCATTCTTCTGGTTTGCACTTGCTCTACTTGGCATAGGACTCTTCACTTCAACTGATTCCTTTTCTTTTTCTTCTTTGGGTGTCTCAGCATTTTCATCATTATTTTCATCATCTTTTTCAGATTCCTTGTCATCTTTCTTGTCATCACCTTTCTCAGATTCCTTGGTATCTTTGTCAGAACCCTCATCAGTTGCTTTTTTCTCATCATCGGCTTTGTCCAAGACATTCTTATCTGATGGTACTACCTTAACATCTGAAAGAAAATCAATGTCAGAAGTAGCTGCATGCACAAACGTAGATATTTTTACTCGGACCGCTCGATCCGGAGACGAGCGCACTAACCATGAGGCCACCGCGCCTCCCCAAAGATCAAGGCTATAGGTGACTTAAAACTTACTGACAGCCCTGCTCCTTAAGGACGTTTGCGCGAAAATTTTCCAGTCCATAGATAAGATTTTTTTACAATTTTTTCTGTGGGCAGATAATGAGTTACTTGTTTAAGAAATGCAAAAAAAAAAAAAAAA